CACACACACACACACACACACACACACACACACACACACACACACACACACACACATTCAAATGAGGACCCAAACCGCAGTAATAACCATGCCAGGTTCTTTGAAAGGAAGTAGATTTTTTAAATCTGTACTTTTCAAACAGACATTTAATTTTGTAAGGTTGGCCACGTCACTAGAGTGTGATGTACAACTTACCATTTGTAATGATGTACAGTGAGACGTACAACTTACAACCATACAGCTTACAACTGTACATAGTGATGTAGACCATAGGTTGCAACATACGACTTACAGTCATGTATTTCATACAATTTGACTTATGACTTACAACCATACGTGGTTATGTAGATCGTACAGTGAGACGAACAACTTAAGGCCGTACATAGTGAAGTAGACCAGGGTTTTACAACCTGGGGATCCTGTCAAAGACTTCAGGGAGGACCCATAACCATGTCTGCACAGTTTGTGAAAATATCAAATTTATTGTTTGTATTTAAAATTCCCCAACACAAGTCCATTTGAATAATTAAAACTCTGCTTAACTCATAACAGTGTTTTCCTCCCTTTTCTGCAGAAACGTTTATAATTATTCACTTTATTCTTTTGTTATTTTGATGGAGATATATTTTGAAGGCGTCTTTGGGAGAGATGGGGAGTAGCAAGAGTTTTTGGGACAGTGGGGTGGGGGGGGCTCAGCTTGGCTTTGCAACATACCGTACTTTGACCTTTTTACAGGTACTAGTGCATAAGCGTGCACCATGTGCCTAGTGTTCCAGTATTCAAGGAAGGCCTTTAACTCTAGTCCTTTTGTGTTTTTACACTTGCTTTTTTGTTGACTTTCATAACATATATTTAAATATTTTTATTGGTATTTTACATTTATATAATGAAAGGTCCTCAGCTTTCAATGTTGTGTGGTAGTAGCTGAGAYATTCACAGTCAATCTATGACCAAAATGACTTTAAACCTGTCGTTTTTCAACAAAAAATTTTGGTTGTGACTTAAACAGTGTGAGTTCTGAAGTTACTACTACCCTTGGGTCAACACACCCCTCTAGGCCTCAGTCAGCAGGAGGAGTAAATATTAACTCTATAATGGGCCTAAATGTAGTTATTTTGTTATTAAATATATATAT